GCGGAAATGAAACAGGCGCGTAGCCAGGGGGGGGGGGGGCGGTGGGGGCAGTCGCCCCCCCCAAAAAAAAAAACGTCGGCCAAAAAAAAGAAAGAGAGAGAAAAAGAAGGAATAAGGAAGAGGACGTAGGAAGAACTAGATGGAATTCGACTGCGCGCAGTCGAAAATGATGCCTCCGTCATAGAGCAATTTTACAAACCGAAACGTTCATAAGTTGACCTCTGTGACCCTTGACCTTTGACCTACGTGCTCCAAAATCTAATCAGATTGTCTTCCTATGGTGATACACACTATCATTAAGTTTGAAGTTTTTACATCTCCAGTGGTTCTTGAGATATCATGATAACAATCTCAATGTATGGAATTCATAAGTTGACCTCTGTGACCCTTGACCTTTGACCTACGTGCTCCAAAATCTAATCAGATTGTTTTCCTATAGTGATACACACTATCACTAAGTTTGAAGTTTAAATCTCCAGTGGTTCTTGAGATATCATGATAACAATCTCAATGTATGGAATTTCATAAGTTGACCTCTGTGACCCTTGACCTTTGACCTACGTGCTCCAAAATCTAATCAGATTGTTTTCCTATAGTGATACACACTATCACTAAGTTTGAAGTTTAAATCTCAAGTGGTTCTTGAGATATCATGATAACAATCTCAATGTATGGAATTTCATAAGTTGACCTCTGTGACCCTTGACCTTTGACATACGTGCTCCAAAATCTAATCAGATTGTTTTCCTATAGTGATACACACTATCACTAAGTTTGAAGTTTAAATCTCCAGTGGTTCTTGAGATATCATGATAACAATCTCAATGTATGGAATTTCATAAGTTGACCTCTGTGACCCTTGACCTTTGACATACGTGCTCCAAAATCTAATCAGATCGTCTTCCTATGGTGATACATACTATCCTTAAGTTTGAAGTTTAAATCTCAAATGGTTCTTGAGATATCGCGCTAACAAACTCAATACAAGGAATTTCATAAGTTGACCCCTGTAACCTGTGACCTTTGACCTACGTACTCCAAAATCTAATCAGATCGTCTTCCTATGGTGATAAATACTATTCCCGAGTCTTAAGTTTAAATCTTAAATGGTTCTTGAGATATTGTGATAACGGTCAAACGGGACGGACGGACGGACGTACGGACGGACGGACGTACGGACGGACGGACGTACGGACGGACGGACGTACGGACGGACAACCCGAAAACATGATGCCTCCGGCACCACCTTCGGTGGCGGAGGCATAAAAAGGGAAAAGGAGTTGAGAATGGTAAAAGAATCGTCTTCTTTCTCTAATAATTTGATAAAACGTCAAAGCTTCCGCGCTTCGCGCGTAAAGGAGGAAATTGAGTTCAAATTAAGGATTAAGAGTCGAGAACATAACAACAAATCGTCTTCTTTCTCTAATAATTTAATGAAACGTCAAAGCTTCCACGCTTCGAAAGAGGGGGACTGAATGCAGATAAGGATTATTATAAGGGTCGGGAAAGATACACTGACGAATAGTCTTCTTTGTCTAATAATACGTCAAAGCTTCACGCAGGAGGAGGGGGGGGGGGGACTGAATTCAGACAAGGATTAAGAGTCGAGAACGGTACTTCGAGTCGTCTTCTTTCTCTAATAATTCAATGAAACTTCAAAGTTTCCGCGCTTTGCGCGGGAGGGGAGGAAACTGAATTCAGATAAGGATGAGAAAGGTACATCGAATCATCTTCTTTGTCTAATAATACGTCAAAGCTTCCGCGCTATGCGCATGAGGGGCGGACTGAATTCAGACAAGGATTATGATTCGAGAAAGGTACAAGAATTGTCTTCTTTCAAAGCTCCCCCCTCCCTGCACCCACCCCCCTAGGGAGCGCGCTATGCGCGCTCTTTAAGTGATTCGCACACTTTGCGTGCTGACTACCGCCCCCCCTAAAATGAAATCCTGGCTACACGCTTGAAATGAAATTCAGCAAGATTGAATGAAAATTTCCCTTTCATTCTAGTTCTCGACATAATTATATATAATTGGATAAATAGGCTAATAAAAGTAGGCATATCACGCTATGTTTATACAAGGAACCTACACAAACATGCTCAAAATATTCACATCAGTTTCAGTTTTAAAGGAAACGGTTGTTTTAGTAAAGTGTGGGTTGTTTATCCATCCTCTACGGATCTTCATCAAGGCAAGCTATTTATGTTCTACCTGCCAACTGAAATTACTGGTAAACTAGAATTGAATATTGCATTTTTTTCTTCCTACTCGTGTGAGCCTATACATATGGAAAAGTAAACAGATATAACAAGCCAAGATAGTGAAGAAAGAAGATTTTACATGTTTACATGAATACTGAAGGGAACATGTGCAGGAATGAAATTAATGTTGAAATATTTGGGGGAAACTTTGTTTTGTTAAAAGTAGCAAATCAAGAAAATGATCACAAAATGGCAAACATTATCACACATTATCATGAACTACATTTGTTCACATCTTCTACACTTTGCTCTTAAAGGTAAAGACCAGTATTGGAAACGCCCCAATTTCAAAAAATGAAATGGAAGCTCTCATTACCAATCATGTGAAAGAATATGTTTTGACTAATACATGATGATAAAAAATTTGCCGGGAAACCGCCTACTAATTCATATATTTGGTAAATTTGTTTCTCTCATGGTCTGTGAGAGATATAGGGTAGTCCCATATACATCTTTCTGTGTATAGTGCTTGTAACTTTACGAAGAATGGGCCAAATTTCTCATCATTTTGATGATTCCAGAACCTTGCAGATGCTAGATGCTAGATGATCAACCTTTTCTGATCGATTCCACAACGTTTCTTTCACAATGCAATCGCATGACCATAACTGGTCTTTACCTTTAATCTCCATTCAAATTTGCATAACCTTTGGGACACATTTGAGCAGCCAATACTAGGATATTGGGTAACTGTAAAGTCCTGTCTAGCAATCTTGGACAGTCTGACAAAGTAAAAAGGAAATTTGAAAATTGAATTAATTATCTCCACCTCACTGACAAATTAATGACAGACAATTCAAATGAATACACCTAGTGCTCTAAATATTGAATTGTAATATTCATTTAGATGCAGGTTTTAGTTCTGTTGTTGTTGTGTTTTTTCTTTTAAATAGTAATCACCTTTTGGGTTTACACAGCATCGCAATATCAACTAGACCTACTTGATTCAATGTTTCCTTTTATCGTTTAAATAATGTCCCTGAATAACTTTGGCTGGATTTTCATTAGAGTCCAAAGTGTTACATACATGTTGAAAGCCTACTTCTATAAAATAAGGTGTTTCTCATCAATGCTCACCTACCGATATCCATTAGCATCAGATATCATATGGAGATACGGATATGAAATTCCAGCAAAACATCCATATTTACCCACAAAGAGTTGGCTTTGAGCAAGCGTGTAATTTTGGTCAAACTCTAGTATGCTAAATATGCCAAAACAATAACAAAATAACCACAGTTCTAGGTCAGTGATTACATGTATGCCAATATAGAGAATGGCTCCAATCTAAACATGTGAATGAATGTATATCATGTTCCCTCTAAGCAATCTTGAGTTTGTGTAAGATATGAAACTTTGAACAATATCTTATATCATCATAAATATGGGCATATTGAAATGACAATGTCGGCCCTGAATTTCAAAACAAAAATAGAAATTAAATGAATTTATAAAAAAGCAATAATAAATAGTTAAGACTAATTTCACAAATATTTACTTTAAAGATAAATAAATATTTATGAATCATATACTGATTTAGCTCAAAAGAAAGAAAAATAATTAACACACACTCTTTGTTTTAAAAATAACTTATTTCAATATGTTCTAATTAAATACAGCTGCCAGTTGGGTTATGAAAGAAATGACGTTATGAATAATTCACACATCAATCAATAACTCAGTGATATTTTCTGAACCATTTTTTTGCTCGGGGGGGGGGGGGGGCATCTTAAACTCATGCTATTTGACAACTCCTAATGATTAAAAACGGGTTGGCCATCACAGTTCAAAGTCTACACACAAACTAATGCATAGGCACATTATCTATCTTTATCTTAAATTCATTGTTATATTACATAAAACTCTAGCATCAAGCACGTAAGCAAACACAATTAGGCCTATAGGCTAAGGAAAAAATATATCACTACTGGTCTTGTTTTTTACTTGAAACTATAATATATTCTCTCCCTCTCTTTCTCTTTCTCTCTCTCTCTCTCTCCCCCTCTCTCTCCTTTGCACTTTGTTTCACTAAATTTCACAAAGTTCACATTAAACTATCAAAGTACTAGCATAGTTCACAAGAATGTGATAAAACAACAACATCATCAGACAATCACGGTCTCCTATTCGGTACGTCAAAGGAGCTTCCAATCTAATATAAGTAGAATTTCTGCAAAGTCTGTTGTCTTCTTTGCCATATCAAAGTCAAACCACATAAAATTCGACTAATTGGAAACCCTGGCAAAGAATCATGCTATTGTCCACAAAAACACATAAATTGACATCATATTCCTTGATTTTGCTAATTACTCTGTTTTCACTTTGTAGGAAGCCAAAAGTTCAGACAGATTACATAATTATCCAGCTTACATGTGTTCTGGCAACCTCATGCACTTGTTGACTTATTGCCCTCATAATCAATCAAAATGACAAGTTGTTTTCCAACATTAACATTTTTTTTTAAAACATCTCTTTATCTCTATCTCTCTATTTCTCTTTCTCTCTTTCTTGATCTTTAAACCACAAAGTATTATAGATCAAGTTCAATGACTACCGGTACATTTATCAATTCCTCAAGTTTCAATAATCATTATTGGGCAATTAATAATAACCAAAGATTTAATATCAATCAATACAATTTTGAAGTACTTTCATTTATAGTTTCAATTGAGAACAAAAAACTAAAAATAAATAGTTTAAAACTTTCAAGTGAATGGACACTGTACTTTATTCATTTTTATGCATCAATTTTTGTTCCTTAGTTTTGAAAGCACTTCAAAACTAAATCAAATAGCTATTTACATTAAACAATTAGTTAAATAAACAAAGAAATGTCTTGAGTCAGAGAATAATGCAATTTTCCCTGATTTTTTGAAAAAGTCAGCTGACATCAAAACCAATGTTGATATAAGATCACAAAGGAGGAACTTGATAGAATTATGATATGAACTATGATAGTATATGAGTATTATATCTGGGATCTGTTTTTAAATGTTCCATATATCTCATAAATGACAGGTTTGGTATTTCAAGCAGGATTACCGTAACCGATACCTGATATCAGTTACAAAACCAAACTTGTACCACCTCTCAGCTGTACGTCACAACCATTTTGAACATTTTTCCAAATGATACCGGTACTGATGACGGATGCACAACACCAAAATGAGCAGAATTTACAGTGCAAACATAATATGAGAGGTAGAAAGGAAAGTGATGGATACTTACAAGTCCACATACCACTGCGTCCTAGGCCGAGGCATCGTTCTCAACGCTGCATCCCTGCAGAAAGATAAATAAGAGCGGACATTTTGATCAATTATTCTGTTTTCCATGCAATCTCACAGCTAGGTAGAACTCAATATCGATCATTCACGATATGAACGATGTCTGGAGCTAACTGAGAAATCTTGTTGACCATAGAATGTTTCTGAACAAGTAGGAGTGATGCAGATACTGCTCATGCTACATGTATGGAAGACGGCTTGTATCAACACATTTTGCGATAAGGCAATTTAACAGTGTGAAATAAATTTTAAAGTAGCCTCATTGATTGTTTATCTCCGGTATGACATATATCACAATGATATCACATATATATGGCAATTTAACAGTGTGAAATAAATTTCAAAGTAGCTTCATTGATTGTTTATCTCCGGTATGACATTATCCAATGAACTTATCACATCCAAAGAAAAGCATGTTTCTAGAAGAGACAATCCTTCAAGTATTCCAGGAAACATGTATCGTGCCGGGTGTTATGAAAACAAATTGCGAAAAAATATAATTAAACCGGTAATACCGCCTGAATGACAGAAGAAAAGGCATTATTCCAAAGGGTTTAAACACAACCGTCTTGCAGAGAGGAGCTCAAAATGAGAAAATGACAATTTGGGGATGATTCTGGATAAACCCATCACTGTCCTCTGTGGTGAACTTGATCTCATCATCATCTATGCCTGTTCTCTTTGTAGGGCAGATTACCAGTAATTGCTAATAGTGCATTCAGGATTGGACCCCAGCCTTGATGCCTAAGCGCTCACTTATGCTAGATCTCTTTTCATTAGTCATCTCTCTACTGTGATACACAAAGCTCGAGAAGACGAGAATAGACATCCACCCCCTATATATGATACATGGCTTCAGCATCTCATTGCATCGTTCCCACGGATATACACCTCGCTGGATAATGCCCAACACTCTACATATACTATGCTCACTATTCGGAGTGAAGATGCATCTCAAAGTCAAAGCATTGGTCTTCTAGGATAACGGGGACAATAAATGGTTGTTGAACCCATGTAGCAAAGTAAGAACAAAATTTGAAAATCTTCCTGACAATTTTGCGACATCCAGACAGACGTTTTGTTTTATATGCATGAGTTTAGATGCTCATATCATATTTTACAAAGTAATCCAGATAAATCGATTACACCTTACCAGTAACGCAAGTATTCAAGGTTCTTCAACATGAAAGCCTCATTAACATTCAATATGAAGTATGAGACAGAAGATGGATATATGGAAATGTGTGACTGAACACTTTGTTGTGTAATCTAAATAGAATGTAAACACTGTTGGAATGACTCTAATATATCCCTCGACTCAACGCGGACTTGACCCCTTACTGACTCAACCTGACTCAGGACTCCAGGTCCCTGTTCCATAAAAACTTGTCATCAATAGCGAGTTACAATAACTGTTATAAGCTACTGAAATTGGAGCATTTGATTGGCTGAGAGCAAACTTGTCTAGAAAATTTATCATTTCATATTGATAACAAGTTTTTGTGAAACAGGGCCCGGGTCTAAAGACTCAAGCACGACACTGGCTTTCGATCAGCAGTGAGAACAAAGTCCGGGATCGCTGCTTTGGTGTCTGCCGCGTTAAGAGGTCAGTAAATGGAAAATAATTGGGATCACGACAACACAAGCATGGCATACAGGGAGGACCAATTATCTCCTATGCTGTGTATACATGCACATGTTTTATTGCATATGCAGATCAAAACAGAAATATAACATCTCAGTAATGAGGGCCAGAAGGACACTAACACGTAAACAAAAATAACGAGATTACATCCTTCTAGTTCTGAACAGACGATATTACCTTAACAGCAATAAGGGCATTATAATACTGATGATCAGCAGGTTTGTTTTTAGTAATAGTATGAACCAGCTTTCATATTTATCTGTCTGGGGCAACTAAGGTGATAATTTAAAGAGCAAGAGAACCCAATATCATAAATATCCTCTTGGACATACAAACATTTTCAATATTTATGAGCGAAAGAGCGAAAGTATTATCTTTGAAAGTGCTGAGCACTACTACAGACTTAGCTGTAAAATTAAGCATGTTGATTAAATATTAATTTCGTCACCAAACTATTCATGAAATCAACAGTTTGATCTGTGCTCTTGACAATTAATATATTTCTTGACTCATTTTATACTTACAAAAGCAAATCTAATTGACATTCTCCATTAGTATATCTGCAAACAGACTATGAAAATTATATGTTTAGCAAAAGTATGGCATTATGGAGAGAATAAATCTAATGACGAGCATAGAAATTTAATAAAATCATTTCAATTTATTGTCTTTCTCAATTTAAATTTACCAAGCAGACCCCTTCTCCATACAGCATCCACTGAAAGATAAGATTCATTATGGCATAGATGTGTCAAGCTCATGCAAGCAGCTGTATGTTTGTCATTGTGTCTGTCTGTCTGTGTGTACGTGTGCCCTGACCACACCCAATCAGCAGAATCTCATTATGTTGATGATATTGATCTTTGCGGTATGTACTACAAGAGGGCAGCGTGACGCAAAGACAGCTAGCCATGGACTCTTGCTACCGAAATCAACAATCGCGCTTGTGACCTCATTAAAGATATGCTCCTCTCCAGGCTCATTCATGATAATATACCTTAAAGGGGTAGTCCACCCTGGTAGCAATTGGGTTTGAAATGAAGCAGAAAATGAGAGGAACAGGTCAGTGAAATTTTGAGCAAATTCTGATTAAAAATGAGAGTTATTCATTTTTGAAGTTGCGATCAATCAAACACAAAGTGGCGACTCTGTGATGTATCTTGCAAGCTCCTCTTCCCCCTTTAACATAGTTTGTGTGCTTGATGAGATAGCTCAAAAGGAAAAGTATCACGTTAATCTTGAAGGAGGTCTAACTACAGCTTTTATGCTCTGCAATAAATAGTGTCATAAATTCAGGAATGCTGTGAAGTTTGTCAAACTTATAGCAATGCATTTATAATTAAGTTTTTTTTTCTTCTGATAGGTTGGGATTATTAAATGACCACTATATCTAACAGTGATAAATATTCTCTCTTGAAAACACATTCAGTCTTTTATTTCACTTTTCGTTGAATTGTTTGGTGAAATGTAGCAACATGCAGAAACTAATAAAACATTTCAACGTCAACTAAAAATCATATATTTTGAATGTTACTCAGCTGTTTTAGCAAGACAAAGATTTATGAGCGCATGTACTAATGCCCTTGTAAATGTCATTGCTGATCAGCAGCACACATATATGATTGAGAAAGAATGCAGAGCCCCAAACATGTAGCTGGTATGTCACTACCAAAGGTTGACATTAGTACTTTCAATCCCCATTTACAATAGAATGTTCAGCTATACCATATCACGTAATATGTCCTCCCAAAAACGTGATCCTTTAAAGATAAAGACCAGTTCTGGTCATGCAATTGCATTGTGAAAGAAACGTTGTGGAACTGATCAGAAAAAGTTGATCATCTAGCATATGTTAAGTATTGGTGTGTACGGCAAGATTCTGGAATTATCAAAATGATATTTGGCCCAGTCTTGGTAAAGTTACAAGCACTGTACACAGAAAGATGTATACAGGACTACGCGACACGGGCGCGATATCTATCCGGTCCGTATAGATATAATAATTTACCAAATTAGTAGGCGGTTTCCTGGCAAAATTTGTATCATCAAGTATTAATCAAAACATATTCTTTCACATGATTGGTAATAAGAGCTTCTATATAATTTTTTGAGAGGGGAGGGGGGGGGGGGGGGCATTTCCAAAACTGGTCTATATCTTTAAATACACACATGTTCCTTGAAAGGATATTCTTATTCTGTGTGAATGCCCCTTTTGCTATAGCAGGGATTCTAATAATAGAGAATGGGTCTTTATCAAAATTTCATGTAAATTTCCCTTGTGTGAATGGACTGGCAGAATGTGGGCTACTAAGACCCCGTTCTCACTCACTTCGTTGGAGCGGTCTAACTAAGACCCGTTCCTCAGGAGCAGTTCTTAGGTGAGTGAGAACGGTCAAAGTGGTCCAGGAAGTGGACTTCTGGACCGCTCCAGAAGACCACCTCGGGAGGTGGTCTTGAGGAACGGGTCTTATTAAGAGCGGTTTGGACCGCTCTAACGTGCAATGTGAACGGAAGCATACTTTGACCGGAAGTGAGCTAGTGACGTTCCGTGCGAAACATGTAGTACGGTACATACGGTTTGTATTCCGCGTGCCAAAAAATTGACCTGTTGACCTGAGCTGCCATAGCAACAAGACCACTTTGACTCGTGGAGCGGTTTGAGCCATAAAAAACTGCTCGGAGTGTGAACGCTCGCAAACCGTTCCTCAAGACCCGTTCCTCTGGAGCGGTCTAACTAAGACCACTTTCAAAGTGAGTGAGAACGGGGTCTAACTCTTGACAGCACTTGACTTTTGATAAATTGCTCAGAAATTCTAAGTGAATGGAATTTTGATGATAACTGTATAGTATATTTTAAACCGTCACCAAACTTGATGGACAAATGACCAGTACTATTATACCCTCAGTAGCCTAAATAATAAATGGCTTGAAACGAATAATAATGATTTGTTTTTGTTTTGGTAATGATTTCCTCATAGCAGTCAATAAAGCATTACTGTTGACAAACAAAATTATGTTTCACCCTAGCCCTTGTTTGTTATTTTTTCACCCACTCTGCATATCCTATAATCTGTATCCATTGGCTAAAAGTTTGTTGTAACTCCTCTTACCCCCCCCCCCCCCCACACACACACACACTCATAGCCCCACCCCTTTATTTCTCATTCTTTCATCCATTCTGCCAATCAAATCACCTGTGTAATGGCTAAATGTTCTTGTGGCTCCCCTTACCCCCCCCCCCCCCACACACACACACACATAGCCCCACCCATTTAATAATTCCTCAATCTTTCACCCACTCTGCCTATCATATCACCAGTATCTAGTGGCTAAATGTTTGTTGTAAGTGA